AGGTCTAGTTTAAAATGGGATATGTTGATGATGCCTTGTATAAAACAGCTGTTACATCGTAAAATAGATTAAGAAACGGGAAGTAGAATATTTTTTTCTTCTGTCAATGTGTATTGTGAAATGTATAACACTTTTTCATCCATCGCGCTAATAGATTTTTATTACAAGGGGAAACTATATATTATAGGCCCACATGTTTTATGTGATGTATAAATATGGTAAATACTGAGCTATACAACCACTCTGACCTATACAAACACACTGACCTATACAAACACTGACCTATACAAGCACACTGACCTATACAAAAACACTGACCCATACAAACACTGACCTATACAAACACTGACCTATACAAACACTGACCTATACAAACACACTGGCCTATACAAACACACTGATCTAAACAAAAACACTGACCCATACAAACACTGACCTATACAAACACTGACCTATACAAACACTGACCTATACAAACACACTGACCTATACAAACACACTGATCTATACAAACACTGACCTATACAAACACTGACCTATACAAACACACTGACCTATACAAACACTGACCTATACAAACACACTGGCCTATACAATCACAATCACTGACCTATACAATCACAATCACTGACCTATACAAGCACACTGACCTATACAAACACTGACCTATACAAACACACTGACCTATACAAACACACTGGCCTATACAATCACAATCACTGACCTATACAATCACAATCACTGACCTATACAAGCACACTGACCTATACAAACACTGACCTATACAAACACACTGACCTATACAATCACAATCACTGACCTACACATCAAACTTTCACTCACTAATTCAACCATCGTCTTATGACCTACACTCTCCCCCTCCCCCACAAATTATCTCACACACTATACCCCTCTCCCCCACAGCCAATATCTCGACACCACCCATCCATCCCGATCAGCTTAACCCCCACAAATCTCACTTCCGGCGGCCATCTTTGAAACAGTAGGAGGTAATCGTTCTTGTTTATGACAAGCTTTGAGCCGATTAGCTATTTTAGCCTGATGATCCCGCCTTTTTTTACCGCTATTTTTTAGAGAACGGGACAATGGCAGTATAACCATAGGGAACATAGGATGGACAATGGTAGTATAACTATAGGGAACATAGGATGGACAATGGTAGTATAACTATAGGGAACATAGGATGGACAATGGCAGTATAACTATAGGGAACATAGGATGGACAATGGTAGTATAACTATAGGGAACATAGGATGGACAATGGCAGTATAACTATAGGGAACATAGGACCGGACAATGGCAATATAACTATAGGGAACATAGGAGGGGACAATGGCAATATAACTATAGGGAACATGTAATGGACAATGGCTGTATAACCATAGGGAACATGGAATGGACAATGGCAGTATAACCATAGGGAACATGTAATGGACAATGGCTGTATAGCCATAGGGAACATGGGATGGACAATTGCAGTATAACTTAGGGAACATAGGAGGGGACAATGGCAGTATAACTATAGGGAACATAGGATGGACAATGGCAGTATAACTATAGGGAACATAGGAGGGGACCATGGCAGTATAACCATAGGGAACATGGGATGGACAATGGCAGTATAACCATAGGTAAATATTGGTACCTTGGGCCTTCGGGAGGTGATGTCCCCTTTTCAAATAGATGCATGAAAGAAATTCTGTTTCTATCGAGAATTAAACGGAAGCATGTCAATAACATACAAACACAGATAACGCTCCGGGTACTTTGTTTACTTTGGGAGAGTAGACAGTAATGTTCATTATAATTAACAACATATTTAATGTAAAGTTGTACTAGTATATGAGAATAGCTAAAAAAGAACATTGTTTCCTAAAACGTATAGCTCTAGTAAATCTTTTATTTTTCAGGAAATGCAGCTAACAGAGGCGTAGCGAGGGGGGGGGGAGGCGGGTGGGGGGGGGGGTGCGGACCGCACCGAGTGACACCATTTAGGGGGGTGACACCAAGGCAAAAAATAGCAAAATATATAGAGAAAAACTTGAGGGGGCGGGGGGGGGGGCGCAAATCGAAAGTTTGAGGGGGGGGGGGTGCAAATCGAAAATTTGAAAGTTTGTCCCCGGGAAAGGTCACTGCGCCTCTGGGGGGTGGGGTGGGGGAGGGGGGTGGGGGGGGGGGGTGACACCATTAAGTGCCGCACCGGGTGACACCCAACCTCGCTACGTACTGGCAGCTAATAGTATATTATAATGCTAAATGTAGAACTACGGCAATTTATTCGATTATTTAAATTTTTCAACCGCAAACCATCAATAAGTTTTAGGTCATTATAAGACGCAGATTATAAAATTTCTTATACCAATATAAACTAAATCTGCTTCTATACAACACTAGGCTATTGGCTTCTAAAAAGCATACATAGAGTTAATTTTACTGCAATAATTTATTTTGTGTAGAGTTAAAGGATTATGCCCAACATAAGCCGCTTATAGGATGACGCTAAAACCTCTTTATTTCAATTTTGTACTTTTTTTTAATAATGGACTTTTGGTCGGATATTTTTACCATCCAGGAAACAGGGGCTCTGAAATACAAGGACTGGATTACAATATTAAATCTGATGACATATTTCAGCACTTTAAAACCTACATAATACATTTTAGAAATTGTTTTCGTTATGTTGTCCTATATCTGATATCATTAGACGAGTTTCTTTCATCTCCCATGATGTCATACATCATTTAGACAAACATCAGACATCCTGTCTTAATCTCAATTTAAGCACCGTTAGTTAAGGCATATAGTGACAGTTTAGAAAATCTTTAGCAACACTTTAAGCACCGTTAGTCAGACATAGTCTGACATTTAGTCACAGTTTATCAAACCTTTAGTCAAACACCGTTTAGTCAAACACAAAATTTAGTATGTTCGTCAAAACTTAGTCACATTTTAGACACTGCTAGGCACACTCCGTTTGTCTGTCTTTAGTCACATTTTTATCACCCCCTGTCATTCGGCATAAATCTCATTGTTTTCACGGTTGCGCACAAGACACATGGATCAGATGAAGTAGAGTTCATCTTTTTCAATGACCGCTGCATACAAGAGGATAGTGTAGTCAGCACTATGCCGAGCTGACTTAGCCTACTTAAAGTGAGTTAGGTACAATCAGAACTGTGTGGGCTCTGGGACATTCTACAGACTCAAGCCTGGGATCCGAACTGAAGACTTTCCCGTGAGAAGATGAAAGCTCTACCATTCGACCACACCGTCTCCAAATTCACATTATATAATAATATTCGTAATCATTATTCAGTTCACACTTCATTAAAACTAAATAATTCACGAACCACATTTAATCATTCACGATTCACAATCAGTCTCCGAAACTCATTCTCCTTCAATCATTCACGATTCACAATCAGTCTCAAGTCATTCTCCTTCAATCATTCACGATTCACAACCAGTCTCCGAAACTCATTCTTCTTCAATCATTCACGATTCACAATCAGTCTTAACTCATTCACCTTCTATCATTCATTCGTCAGCCCCCCCCCCCTCACCCCCTCCACCCTATAGCACCAGTATCTCCCAAGCCTATCTTGAGACGACGCCAGCCATTGTGCTACTGAAGACGTTTCGTACACCCTGAACGAGCCTACGAGTATCTCTCTAGACACGGGTAAGGAGGAGATTGTGTGTGCAACAAGACGATCCGATGCCGTTTACGTTTCCAATTTTAAACGGGTTTATGTGGAATGAAAACACTTGGAGGGAATGGAATCCGAGGCTTACACTAAGTCTAGGACAGAGGAGTGAGTTCAGGGGCGGGGTTTAGGGATGGGGGGCCTTAATCTGGAAGTAAAGGAATGCACAATAGAGAAGGATTATAGACATGCTCCCTAGACCAGGGTTAGAGACAAGTTACCACACTATACATAAATGGTGGAGAAGGGTTAAAGACAGGAATCATACGCTATGTATGAGTAGGGCATCACTAGTAGAGGATGAGGAGCCTTAAACTAGACAAGAGCCTTTGATTAAATTAAGCGATGTGAGCCCAATACTAGCATTAGAGAGGTGTGCTAGACGGTCAGTGATATAAGCGTAAGACGAGATAAATGTAGAGGAGCCCTAGTATAATACAATGGAGAGGAGAGCCTCGCCTAGACAATGGAGAGCCCTAGTCTAGACAATGGAGAGGAGAGCCTAGTCTAGACAAGAGAGAGCCCTGGCCTAGACAATGGAGAGGAGAGCCTAGTCTAGACAATAGAGAGGAGAGCCTAGTCTAGACAATAGAGAGCCCTGGCCTAGACAATGGAGAGGAGAGCCTAGTCTAGACAATAGAGAGCCCTGGCCTAGACAATAGAGAGCCCTGGCCTAGACAATGGAGAGGAGAGCCTAGTCTAGACAATAGAGAGCCCTGGGCTAGACAATATAGAGCCCTGGCCTAGACAATATAGAGCCTAGTCTAGACAATATAGAGCCCTGGCCTAGACAATATAGAGCCCTGGCCTAGACAATATAGAGCCCTGGCCTAGAAAAAAGATATGAGCCCAGTAAGTTATCTAGGGCTCATAGACTAGCCTGTGTTATATGATACTGTGACAGAATAGACGACAGTCACGAACGAATTAGCATTTTAAGTCCGGATGAAGTAGAGTTCATCTGTTTCACGTTTCCCAACATATGTGAACGCTAAGACCAGTAACGTAGCTCAATCTGCATTAAAATGTATTCTTACAGCCTTGTTTCTGCAAACTTCTCTCTAGGATCAGAACTTCTCGTTTAGCATTATAAACAAATGCTCTACCACTCGACCACATTGCCTCTTCACTAGACCACACCCGGTATTATACAAACAGATATAGGTACTAGTTACACGTTAACTCTGCTTCACCTATCAAAACAAGTATTTCGGTCTCGAACAACATGTCAATGTGCAAAATAAAAAAAATTAAATAAAAAAAATTACTTACCATCATTGTTGTTATAAACATAACGATAGTGATTGTTATTGTTCTGATGATTGTTAGCCCAACCTTCACGAATGAGCGAAACCACCACAAGGTACATCAACACACACATCAATCTTTTCATTGTATCAAACTACAACTGAAACTGTACTTGTACACTATTCACCACTATCAACACAGCACTACCAGGTTTAAGAATCACAAATCAGATCAATATTCTAACCTTTTTGCTAATTACTAATCAGAGATTGTAAAAAAAACATATTTATGTTTACTTTATACACGTATCGACCTATCCGTTACATAAATACATTATACAATATAAAAATTTCCATTATTAATCACATTGAAATATCAACTCCAGATTTGGAAAAACGCAAAAAAGGAACACAATGCACAAAACGCGTGGTATAAACTGTAAAACTTGGACGAGATTAAAATAACCGCCTCGTATTTCCTACAATGTTTGAGGGGAGATTTTTTCCCACTACCGTGAGCTGTGGTCCGCCTACGTCACGGATTTCCGCGCGCTTGCCTCCCTTGTTCGTGGCGATCGTGGCTCCCCTTGCAATCATTGCAAACTGTCGGAGTAGCTTCCCCTGGTGAAGGCTGTCTTTAGCGTGGTCAAGGCTTGTGTGACTACTCGTAAAACTTTTGGCTAAAAATAGATTGTTTACACAGGATTAGCTGGGTTTTACATTTAACACGATAAAAGTTTAGTGGAACTCATGGTTTAAATTGTAGTTCTGTAAAATAAATAGTTCAATTTACACTTTTTTTTTAATTTTTTTTTTTTTTTCAATAAACAATTTAAATCATGCGCCATGCATGTTTGATTTTCTCTATTCCATTATGGAGATACACAATTTCCTTATTGGTCCTTGTATCGATAAAGACAAGGGTAGGACCTAAATGTCCTAATGACTGTTTCCGATTGACCGTAAAGATTTTTTTTTCGATGAGTTATTGGTGTATCTAAATCAATTATTTTCTATTTTTTTATAATATACATTTGTGAATATTTCTATCATTTGTTATTTATAACTACTTTTATATTTCTGCTATAGTATGTGAAAACTTACTTCCCCTGAATCATTTTTGTCTTAGACTCTTAGACCCATAGGTTTAGACGTGGGTTCTCATCAAGAAAATTGATCTCTGTGCCAGACCTGACAATAACTCTAACCAACCGTATCCTAGCCCTTAACACACTAATCGATGACACTTAACAGTATCGATATGCATCATGTCAAACTAACGATACCCGGTAACGATCTGTACCAATGTATACATATCATGGCATTCAGAGGCGTAGCAAAAAGGGGGGGGGGTGCGGACCGCACCGGATGACACCATTTAGGGGGGGGTGACACCAAGGCAAAAAATAACAAAACATATAGAGAAAAATGATAATTGCACTTAATTAAGTGATTAATTCGAGTGTTAAATAGTGTTTTAAGAGGTGCGAATCGAAAGTTTGAGGGGGGGTGCAAATCGAAAATTGAAAGTTTGTCCCAGGGAAGGGTCGCTACGCCTCGGGGAGGGGGGGGTGACACCATTAAGTGCCTCACCGGGTGATACCCGACCTCGCTACGCCACTGATGGCATTTAAATATCCTACGCACACACACATACTATACAAATAAATAAATAAATAAATAAATAAATAAATATATATATATATATATATATATATATATATATATAGAGAGAGAGAGAGAGAGAGAGAGAGAGAGAGAGAGATAAATACAAGTCATTGTATTCAAGCAAGGCGATAAACTGGTTGAGAACTAGAAGTCTCCTCTAAAAGAAAAAAAAAAGTGTATTTGATAGCCCTTGATCGATTTTGATAATTCATTTTGCGTTGACCATTGTTTGATTTCAGTGTTGGCGTTGAACAGCTTTGAACGCATTTTATAAACCTACGCCAGCCTACAGGAACAACATCTGCGGCTTATTAAGACGGTCTTTTGGTGAGGCTTTTTCTGCTGTAGACTCGGGTACAATGTCTGCTGTAGTTAGAGAGTATAAGCTCTTTTTAAATACACTAAATGAAGTTTTCTTTCACAAAGGTATTATACTACGTCAAAAGATAGACCGATCGTATTATAAACCCCTTACATATTAAATAACAGCCGCTAAGCTGTAGAATGGTTTATATAAGGTAGAAGGCAGTCCTCAATGTGTTGAGTACACCAACATTAATGGTATGTGTATATCAAAAGATAAAGTGATCGCACGTAAATGAGACATTCTATAAACATATGCGTCAAAATTAGGTGTGTTACGAAGATTCATAGCATTGGCCGTCATAAATCAATTTTTTCATAGGTAGTAGCAACTAATGTTGCTTGCAATGTATTGATTAATTTCACCTGGTGCACCTACACATCATGTAATATTATTAGTATACTATTAATGATTTGGCAACGGGTGGGGTAATACAGTTGATGTGGGGGGGGGGGCAGAGGGGTAATATCTTACTTTCTATTTTTAAGGAAGGTGAACAGTCGACGTGGAGTTAATTTATTAGTAACTTTATGTTATTTGGGAATTTATAGAGTGGTAATTCATATGGTGGTAATTTAGGGGGTGGTAACTGAAAGGGTCCTGCTCCACACACACACACACACACACACATACACACACACATACACACACATACACATACAAATATGTATGTAATATATATATATATATATATATATATATATATATATATATATATATATATATATATATATATATATATATAGTGTTTTATAAGTCTGCTAAAATTAGAACAGTTGGACAATGTAATCGAATACAAGCGTAGGATCATGCTATTATTTCAAATTAAAAAATGATCTGCACCAAATGTACATCCGCATGATGCATGCTGATATTGTGTTTCTCTGGCTCGATAAAATATAATCACGTCAACTAGGAGACGCAAATAAATTTCTCATCCACCAGTGTACGTCATTATATTTCATGTGATGCGTTATGGGTGATATTTTATCTTCGATACTGTTCCCCCACAGGAGAATACGATGATAGGGAGTATCTAGTGATCTGGAGGTTAAAACTTAATAAGCTAGGAGATATTTTTCGAAACAATGGCATCTATTTGTTGTGTAAAATAAATTAAGAAATAGATAGAAATTAAGTACATACGCCTCTATTCAGTGATGGTATAGATGATACATCTATGTGTGGTGTAGTTTTAGCGTAGGTTGGAATGTAGACATGTAGATACAATTGATTTGAAAAAAAAATCAAATACACGGTTAAGTTGTAAATAAAATGTATGCTGACTAAGCGAATTAAAATTAATGTAGGTAACATGGGGTAAATTTATGAAAGTTACATGGGGTACATAAATTATCGAAAAATGTGGAGATAAAATGTTTTTTCCTTTCTGAAATTGATGGTTTATTGTGTAGGTGAAGTAGAGTTAATCTGTTTCTGTTACCGAGGCATGTGAAGGAATACTATGGTCAGCACTTTACTCTCCCCAACGTGAGTTAGGTTCTTGAACTCGGATTTGATCTATAGACTTTCGGCGAAGCAGTCCAGCGCTCTACCCCTTGACCAAGCCAAAATAAACTGTAGGCAAAATGATAAACCCTTAAACTGGGATACATGTGGTAAAAAATTGTATATAATGTTAAATTATTCTGTCGAGAATTCCATTAGCTCTGCTGACATCTCCAGGAGTTCCTGGCCAGCAGATTTAGTCTACCGTGTTTACTGCTTCTCTCTAGCACTAGTTGGAAGTATGCAGTCATCAACTAAACTAAAATAAAGCAATAACACTCACACTTTCCTTTTCTGTCTCCCTCCCTCACAAACACACATACGCATGCACTCAACATGTAAATACATACAAGTTGTAGGAACACATATACATGCACGGAACATACACACATACACTGACTACAAGCACTCACACAAAAGCACTGAACACACACACACATACACACACACGCACTAACCCACATACACTCAACACATAGATATGCACTGAATATACACACACATGCGCTGGAAGCACACCTGGACCCAACACACACACTTGTACTCAACATACAGATGCACTTCAACCTCACGCACTCACACAAACATGCATTTAACATACACACATGCACTCAAAGCACACACACACACACGCAGATACACTCGCACTCAATACAAGTACCCACACACATACACTAAGCACATGCACACATACACACGCACTCAACACACACGAAATCACTCACACACGCACTCCACACACACATGCACCCCACACACATGCACTCACCAATAACGGTGCCAGCTCTACTGAAACCCCGAGATCACTAACCCCGTACCGAAACATCAACACAGTAATCACAGAGCGGGGTGATCCTAACCCATTCAATTTTCAGCGGATCATTTATTTAACCCTTCACTGCCTGCCCCTAACGATCTCCCCCCGTCATCACTACACTCGCTTCATCAGAGTTATGTGCCCTGTTTTTAGCCCTTCATAGCTTTCAAACACTGCATCTCTTTATACAAAAAATTAAAAATCTGATTGAAGTATCTACTACCAGTTGAACTCCATACAAATCACAAGTTCTGATACTATACTAGCTAACGCATGTGTGTGTGGAGGGGGGGTGGGGTGGGGGGAGAAAAAAAAAGGGGGGGGGGGTAATTAGGTGGCCCCTGTCCTAGCATCGATACGAAAATGACTACCTCGATACTCAACTCGTCATTTGATACTCCCAGAATTCCACGCGCCTCGGTGTCTGATTAAAGACTGACATGCGAGGTATGTGTGCAACCATGCAATAATGAACCTTGACCTACTCACCGTATAGGAGTCTGTCCTTAGTGTACTATACTAACCCTTATAGGACCATGTCTTTAGTGCCTTATACTTACCCTTATAGGACCATGTCCTTAGTGCCCTGTACTCACACTTACAGGACACTGTCCTTAGTGCCCTATACTTACCCTTATAGGACCGTCCCCATTCTAGTTACCTAACCTCACCCTCATAGGACCATGTCCTTAGTGTCCTATACTCACCTTTATAGGACCCTGTTCTTAGTGCCTTTTACTCACACTC